TGGACATCCATATGGTGACACCCCAGCGACAAACCGGTGAGTTATAGTCACAGCTAGCACCACACCCCAGCGACAAACCGGTGAGTTATAGTCACAGCTAGCACCACACCCCAGCGACAAACCGGTGAGTTAGTCACAGCTAGCACTCACAGAAAATGAGATTGGTTCGATCAGTGCGGGGCAATGCCATACATTGTCAGCCATATGTTCTGATGATGTCTTGATATCTTCATGAAGCTTGGTTTTCTTAGTTTGTGCTTAGTTTTCTTAGTACTGTGTAGTGCGTTTATTTTTCTTAGTATAATGTGATTAGTTTTCTTAGTATAGTGTGTTTAATTTTCTTATTATAATGTGATTAGTTTTCTTATTATAATGTGATTAGTTTTCTTAGTATGGTGTGCTTAGTTTTCAAAATCAGATCCCTGCCAGTGGCTTCTGTCGTGTTTTTACAGGAACGAACGATTGCGCTGAGGGCAATGGAGGCTGCAGTCACTTGTGCCTCGCGCGACCAAAGGGCTACGTATGCGCCTGTCCTGACATCGAGGACAAAAGCTATCCTTGCTCAACAGGTAAGCCTGCCTTTTATTAGGTACCACCTCCGTATAATATATGGAGACTTATTAGGGATTATTTATTTTAAATTATGGAGCTATATTATGCCTGTGATAGTTGTTCAAGCAGTAAGATGGTCAAGTTACAATTTCCCAATTTAATATGAGAAATATGGACTATGTGAATGTTTTATTTCCTAACAGTAAGTGAAGTAGATGACATATAAGTTTAGGTGTTCGGATTTAAATTCATTTAATTGTTAACGTTGAGTACTCGTCTCCACATCTTCGCAGACTAGATTGCTTGTGTGATTGTCCTTTATGCAGTGCCATCTATGTAGCCACTGTTTAACATTAGTTGAGTCTCATATTTCTATTTTATGTTCTTGTACCTTTCTCACAGTGCCGGGGTATAAGCCGCTGCAAAACATTCCATCCACAGAGTCTGAGAAACCAGCAAGTATCCTGTAAGTACAGAAAGACATCAACTTGCGCAGTATGACAGCAGTGCGACCAGTCAGCATTCTCTGTGACCTTGCTGACTATTTTTGCACTTGACCACAAAAATGTCAGCGTAAAATTGCCACACACTGAGATTGAGTGTTTGATTTTATATATTTGTATGATATTATAGCCTCGCTGCAGATCCGAGCGCGTTCCTGCTCTTCACGGGCCGTTCCAGCATCCGCCGCATCTCCATGGATACGCACGACAACATAGACGTCTACGTGCCGGTACCTGACCTGCACAACGTGATCGCGATCGACTTCGAGGCGGCCGACGAGAAACTCTACTTCACCGACGTGCACCTCGATGTCATCAGGTCAGTTTGAGGTCATCGTCAGGTCAGTTTGAGGTCATTGTCAGGTCAGTTTGAGGTCATTGTCAACGAGACTGTTGCTTATCATCTGTGTGTAACGAAAGACTGTAACGAGGATGTGTGTGTTGCAGGAGATGCGACTATAACGGGTCGAACCTTGAAACCCTTGTCAGCAAAGGTCTGCAGACAGTCGATGGCCTTACTGTGGACTGGGTCGCACGCAATCTGTACTGGACAGACACGGGTATGTTATTATTATTATTATTGGCATTATTATTGTTATTGTTGTTGTTATTATTATTAAATCTTTATTCCTTATACAAGTGCATGTACTGAAATTTACGATGAGAAAGGTTATAGTAAATGTTTCGTTGATAGATTGTGATAGTAAAGGAATCGCTGGCGCTCACACTACATACTACATACTTACCCTTGCCAGCGAGATCTTCTCTACGATGTTAAGCATTAATGTTGGGTATTTAATATGTGGAATTCAAAATGTCTGGGTCCATTGATCACTAGCACATTATCAGGAGTAGATAATAGGGAATTGCAGGGATACAGGGATTCCCTATATAATTCCCTATTATCTATTCCTGACATTATGTAACTTGTCAGTGGCTGTCATGGTGGCATGCCTCGCGCGCCATCTTGTCTCTCTCAGAGCTACACATGATCTTCTTCCCAGATCTTCACGGGAGAAGAAGGACACCGTATTGTTTTTGTTCTGCGCTGTGTTGGGTATGAGAGCTGGTGTAAGGTTAGAGTCTCGGAGTTCTAAAGTCTGTTGTTTGCATGTGTCGTCTCAGGGCGTGACATGATCGAGGTGTCCAGGATAGACGGCTCGAGCCGCAAGCTGGTTGTCAGGGATGACCTGGACGAACCGAGGGCCATCGCCGTGTTCCCGAGTAGGGGGTAGGTTTCCTACACGCACGCACGCACGCACGCACGCACACGCACGCACGCACGCACACGCACGCACGC